TACCTGATGATTCTTGATGAATGAATGTTTGCTTTTATGGACACTGATAGCATTTGCACCAAAGACGAATTCCTTGTGTGTCCAATCACACTTGGCCCATAAAAGAATTATACATTCTACATTCCATTCTGGAATCTATAACAAAACACGAAGATTAACCGTTTTTGTTTTCTTCCTTTCCTTCCTCTCCCTTGCTCTGCTCCACCGGGGTGAAGGCCACCAAGCAATTCCTGGAAGAGATCAACAAATGGACCACTCAGTACAATGTCTCTCCTCTTTCCTGGAACATGGCTGTCAAATTCCTCATGGCCAGAAAATTTGACGTCCTCCGAGCCATTGAACTCTTCCACTCCTACAGGGTGAGTTGCTTGGGCAATGCAGGGGTTTCTCTATTCGGCGACTTCCATGGGTGGGTTCACACAAGCTGGACCCATGGGTGGCCTCTTTCCAAGATGGCTTAAACCCTTTTGCTGAGAATGGTCACTGTAATCGGGCTCAGGGGCTAAGACGCTGAGCTTGTCGATCAGAAAGGTCGGCGGTTCGGCGGTTCGAATCCCCAGCGCCGCGTCATGGAGGGAGCTCCCGTCACTGGTCCCAGCTTCTGCCAACCTGGCAGTTCGAAAGCATGTCCCCAAAAATGCAAGTAGAAAAATAGGGACCATTTTGGCGGGAAGGAAACAGCGTTCTGTGCGCCTTCGATGTTTAGTCCTGCTGGCCACATGACCACGGAGACGTCTTCGGGCCGCGCCGGGTCTTCTTCGGCTTTGTAACGGAGATGAGAGCCGAAAATGACTAAGATGCATGTGTGAGGGGAACCTTTATCTTTTAGTTTAATAAAAAGAAGGATATGGGAGTGACATGATAGCATTCTGAGGGGCTGCCACAAAGAAGAGGGGGTCCATTTATTCTCCAAAGCCCCTGAAGGAAAGGCAAGAAGTAACGGAAGGAAACTAACCGAGGAGAGAAGCAACCTAGAACTAAGGAGAAATTAACCAGTGGAACAACGTGCCTCCATAAATTGTAGCTGCACCGTCACTGGAGGTTTTTAAGAAGAGTCCGGACAGCCACTTGTCTGAAATGAACTAGGGTCTCCTGCTCGTGCAGGGGGTTAGACTAGAAGACCTCCAAGGTCCCTTTCAGCTCTATTCTGATTGATGGATGGATCTTCTTCCCACCCCTTTAGGAAACGAGGTTCAAGGAAGGAATCGTGAAACTCAAACCTCACGAGGAGCCGTTGAGGTCAGAACTCCTGAGTGGAAAATTCACCATCCTGGTAAGTTTTGGCTTCTGGGGAATTTCAAAGGGGTGAAGCCAGAACGCTAGAAAAAAATTGCAGAAAAAAAATTGCTAGATATTTATAAATATTTCTGTTTAGAGTTGCCAACCGAAAGGGAGGGGGGAAGCAGTGCAGCAGCTTGCAAACCGAAACTGCATTCCATAAATGTTTTCAAAGATAGTAACTAGGTGACCGAAGTTTCTGTCAGGCCAAATTCTAACTGGAGAGCATGATTGATGACTCTGGGCTAGGGAGGTGTCCCATTGGAGAATATGAATTACGATACACCCAGAGGGTGGAGGGAAAACCAGGGTCAAGGGTGACAGTGAATGATGTGTCTCAGAGTCGGCTACACCCAAGAAGTGCCAGCATGTTTACTCCCAATAAATCCTTTTGAAGTTTTGGAAGTTTGGCTCGAGACTCGTGATTTAAATGGGGTTAAGTGCTGGAATCCTGACACCGACCTCATTTTATGAGCATTTTCCACCCCGGTTGTTAAGCGATTTGCAAAATCATGGAGTGAATTACATGGCCATTAAACGAATCTGGATTCGCTCATTGAGTTCGTTTGTCTGACGCCGGCTGGGAAGGTTGCGACCTTAACCCGCAGGATGACGCGACCGTCATAAATGCGAGACCTATTGCCAAGCGTCTGAATTTTGATCACGGGACTGCAAGGACGTGGTGGCCATCGTAAGCGCGACAACCTTGGTTATAAATCACTTTCCTTCCCCCGCTGTTTTTATATTTTAAATTTTACCATCATCGAGTGTGTCTTATTTTAATTTGTGATGCTTTTGGCACAAATAATACACGCTTTGGAGAAGATACAAAAATTGGCCTGAAGCTGCTTCTGCACTTCGGTAGATGGTTAACAACAATCATCTCCTTGCCCTTCTAGTTGTGTGTGTGTGTGTGTGTGTGTGTGTGTGATTAGGGAGGGAAGGGCTCACAAAGGTCATTATGTAGCCTCCCTATAGTCATGTAATGAGAAATGTCTGGCAAGTCAACAAGCGAGGAATTACAGAAGGAAATAACTCACACTGTCAACGCATTCCTGGCTATTAGTATTCGGAGGTGGACTGTCCCTGCAGCTGGAGGCTCCATCGCAGGAGTCAGAGTCCATGACAAATAATGAACCTCACCACCACCTCCTCATCCAGACATTGCTCTTCTGCTGTAAAGGCATCTAAGTCAACTCCCTTCAGCGTATCTTGGCAACCATGTGCGATGTACAATCCATGCATTCTCTGCCTTCTGTCTCTTGTTAATTTATTCACAATAGGAGACCTCAAATCCCAGGCCTGCAGCTTCCAAACCAAAGCCAACCTGATTCATTTCGTTTCTAGCCTGGCGAACGTGATATTGATTTTATTGTCTCGCTGTCAGGTTTCTGTACCTGATAAAATAACCTGTGTGTCGCCGGGTGGCTTACAGATAAACCAATGAAATCATAGAGAAATCCATCGCACAAACTAACAAACCAGGATTAAAACTGAGTTAAACAGAACAACAGGCCTCTGCCCCCTAACCTTTTCACAACAAGCCTGTAAGGTCGCCCATCCGCAGGGAAGGAAAACCCGCCATTTCCCCCATAGAGAGCTACGGCTAGCGAGAATTCCATCCTGAAGTTTTCTCGCTCCTTTACTTAATCTAGGATACAGGTGCGAATCAAAAGCTACAGCGCTTAAGAGCCATGAATGTTTCCAAAATATTTGCGCTCCTGGATAAATCCGATCTCTACTGCCCTTCGCCATGGATGAAACCCAGTTTCTCGACGGCTCGCCAACCATCACAATTCTGTGTGGGTTTGGGCAGAGGTTCCTTTAAACCCTGTTTGGCCGCCGGGCTGACCTTCTTCCACCTGCTTTCTTTGCAGAGTATGCGGGATCCCTCCGGAGCGTCCATTGCTCTCTTCACCGCGAAGTTGCACCATCCCAATAAAAGTGTCCAACACGTGGTACTCCAGGCCCTGTTCTACCTGCTGGACAGGGCAGTGGAAAGGTAAGGAGGGCTGTTTGGGCACCTGGTTTTGGCTTCAAGAGCCTGGAGAGATTAGAATGATTAGAATTCTTTTCTTTTGTATAGATAGCAACACCAATAAGCACATAGACTTATATACCGCTTCGCAGGGCTTCTCAGCCCTCTCTGAGTGGTTTACAGAGTCAGCCTCTTGCAACATAGGTCCAACAACGTAGGTCCTCATTTGACTGACCTCGGATGGATGGAAAGCTGAGTCAATCTTGAGCCGTTCAGGATCGAACTGCTGGCAGTGGGCAGAGTTAGCCTGCAATGCTGCATTCTAACCACAAGGAAGGAAAGGAGGGGAGGAGGAGGGAGGAAAGAAGGAAGGAAGGGAAGGAAGGAAGGAAGGAAGGGAAGGAGGGAGGGAGGGAAGGAAGGAAGGAAGGAAGGAAGGAAGGAAGGAAGGAAGGAAGGAAGGAAGGAAGGAAGGAAAAAAAATAACAATAGCATTTAGACTTCTATACCACTTCACAGTGCTTTCCAGCCCTCTCTAAGCAGTTTTCAGAGTCAGCCTTTTGCCCACACCAAACTGGGTCCTCATTTTACTGACCTTGGAAGGAGGGAAGGCTGAGTCAGCCTTGGGCTGGTCAGGATTGAACTGCTGGCAGTGGGTAGTGAGTTAGCCTGACATACATACTGCATTCTAACTAGAAGGAAGGAAAGGAGGGAAGGGAAGGGAAGAATGAAGGAAGATAGCAATAGCTCTTAGACTTATATGCCGCTTTACAACCCTTTCCAGCCCTCTCTAAGCGGTTTGCAGAGTCGGCCTCTTGCCCCCAACAATCTGGGTCCTCATTTTACCCACCCTGGAAGGATGGAAGGCTGACTCCACCTTGAGCCTGATGAGAATCGAACTGCTGAATTGCAGGCAGCCGGCAAACAGCAAAAGTAGCCTGCAGTACTGCACTCCGACCACTGCGCCACCAGGGCGCAGGATTGTTTTCTACTCTCTACCCCTCCCTGCAAAAATCTCAGGTTTTCCCATTGACTAAAAGCCTTGCTTGCTTCCACGGCTGGTTTTCAAAGCTCCAAATTCCCTGGCAGTCCTTGGCTTACGAGCACAATTGACCCTGAAAATTTACCTCGTTAAGTGGGGCATTCTGTTAAGCGAGCTTTGCCCCCTTTTAACAACGTCGCTTCTCCCCTTTGTTTACGGAATCGCTGCGGTCGTTCACTGAGTTACCTGGTTGTTAAGTGAATCTGGCTTCCCTGTTGACTTTGCTGGTCATAAAAAGGGGATTGTGGGGCACTGCAGCCATCATAAATGTGAGTCAGCTGTCAAGCATCCGAATACAAATTGTGGGACCATTAAGGATGCTGGAAGTGTGAAAAAGTAACCGTAGGTCACTTTTTCCAGGGCTGTCATAAACTTTGAACAGTCACTAAATGAAACATTGTATGTCAAGGACTATCTGTATTCTGGAATGCCTTCGTTCCCCGGTTCGAAAGTGCCAACGTTTGGGCTTGTTTTATTTATTTTATTTTATTTTTAACCACACCTCTCTCTCACAGAGGAACTCTGAACAGCATACAGTAAAGTATTAAAATATAAACAAACCAGTGCAGAAAAGTTAAAAATTCAAACAAAGGAGGCAAGGATGGTTAAACCATGGTTTAAAAATTAACTGAAAGGCAAAGGGAGGATTTTTGGAGACACTCACTAGCCTCATGGCTGTCTAAAAATATAAGCATGTGTCAGAGCTTAACGTCGCATCCTCCCTGTCTCTAAACTTGTATTTATGAATCTCAAACCCCGCTACTTATTTTATTTTTATTTTAGGAAATTTATATTGCTGCCTATTCGCACATGGCGACTCAAGGAGGCTTACAGGAATAAAAAAAACTCATATATAAAACTAAAGAAAGAGAATAATCATATAACAAATTTATAATACAATGAAATAAAATAAAACAAAACAATACTTTTTAAGCCAAGAATGCTGGCTTGTAATAGAACTGTTGGGGAATCACGGTTTAGTTTAGCTGAGCCCTTGAATTAGGTTGGGTTTTGGGGTACAAGCCTCAGCTCCCTGTTTGAATCCTCGTGGAGGTGAGATATGACCCCCAGGAACTTCGTTTGTGACTCTAAACCATGTTTTTCCTTCCCATAACCAGCTTTGAAACTCAACGGAACGGCCTGGTGTTTATCTACGACATGGCAGACTCTCACTATTCCAACTTTGAGCTGGATCTCAGCAAAAAGATCTTAAACTTGTTGAAGGTAATGGGAAATAGCAATCGCCCTTAGACTTATATACCACTTTATAGTGCTTTCCAGCCTTCTCTAAATGTTTATAGCCTATTTGCCCCCCACAATCTGGTTCCTCATTTTATCCACCTTGGAAGGACGGAAGGCTGAGTCAACCTTGAATCGGTCAGAATCGAACTGTTGGCAGTGGGCAAAATTAGCCTGCAGTACCACGTTCTAACCACTGCACCACCATGGCAGAGATAGCAATAGCAATATCTTAGACTTACATACCACTTCACAATGCTTTTACAGCCCTCTCTAAGCGGTTTACAGAGTCAGCCTCTTCCCCCCCAACAACCTGGATCTTCATTGTACCCATCTTGGAAGGAAGGTGTTGTGGTTAACCAGCAGTAGGTGCAGATGGCTGAGGAGAGCGAGGACTCAGATGAGGGGACAGGACCATTAGAGAATGTGGACTGCTGCCTTCAGAGATTGTGGGGGGCTGGCAGCAGCGATGAAGTGCGCAGGGTTGTTCGTAGGAAAGGGCAGCTGCAGCAGCACGGGCGACTTGGGAGTAAGGCTGCAAGGTGATGGCCCCTCCTTCCAGAAGATAAAAGCCAGCTGTGAATCGGACATTCTTTGCAGGAAGCAAAGACGTTTTGAAACTCAGCCTCATGGACATTCCAGTATCTTAAGTGGGTATTTGAAGACTCTTGTGTTGTAAAATATTTCTTATCTGCGATTCTTGGCAGCCTCGCACAGTTTTGGCGAGGCTTGTGCTTATCAGAGTTAATTAGTTTGCAGCAGCCTTTTAACCGGGGATTCGTAAGAATCGTTAAAAGGTTTGGTTCGTGTTTGTTTTATTGGACAAGGGTTTGGGTCAGAACAGAAGGATGAAAGGCTGAGTCAACCTTGCGTCTGGTGAGATTCGAATTGCCAAATTGCAGGCAGCCGGCAGTCAGCAGAAGTAGCCTGCAGTGCTGCACTCTGACCACTGCCCCACAGTGGCTCCTGGTGTTATAAGTCGAGGAGTATCTGTTATAAGTCGAGGAGTCCTTGTTGGCCCTCCCTGACTCCAAGCCTTCCATGGAAGGCAAATTTTTATTTTCCACCAGTTTCTCTGGCGTAACTCGAACCTTTTAATTGCCCGATGCAAGGCCATTTCATTAATGAATCAAATATAAACCACGGAGCCTTTAATCCAGACCCGCTGACCTCTTGATGGATTGACTGCTGGCGAGCCTCTCCTGCTCATTGTCAGCCTGTGGTCTCCTCCTTCCACGGAGGAAGAATTCAGGGTCGTTTCCCAGGGGGAAAAAAAAGTTAAAAACAACCCTCTTTTCCCGTATTCAGGTGCCCTTTTCGGGGGGAAAAATGTCAGCCAAGCGCAAATATTTGAGAACCTCAAATGTGGTCATCTGGTTAAAGTCCTTAGCTGGTCAGTTGACCCAGAGCACGGACAGCTTCTCTGAAGGACCATCAGAAAGGAACTGTCTCTCCCAAAAGACAGAGAAGAATTAGATCTGGGGTTCCTCTCCTGCCAGCTCATCTCAACCGTAGTTATCCCGGGGCGCAGAATTATTCCTGAGCTCCCATTCTTTTTTAATTTTATTTAAAGTAACAGTGATTTACTTCCCCAAAGGATAATACCTACAAATGGTACATACTTATTGAAGTTGTACAATTAATGCTTGGTATAACCTTAGTGGGGGATAGAAATTAGAATTCTTTACTGGCCAAGTGTGATTGGACACACAAGGAATTCGTCTTGGTGCAAATGCTCTCAGTGTATATAAAAGAAAAGAGACGTTCGTCAAGAGTCAAGAATCATCAGATACAACACTTAAGGATAGTCTGGGAGTATATTAAGAATAGAATAGAAGGATATAGAAATAGAATTTAAATAGAATGGAATGGTATGGTACGGTATGGTACAGTACAGTACAGTATAGAAAATAGAATAGAATAGAATAGAATAGAATAGAATAGAATAGAATAGAATAGAAAATAGAACAGAATAGAATAGAAAACAGAATAGAATAGAAAATAGAATGGAATGGAATAGAACAGAACAGAAAGAATAGAATAGAATAGAAATGAAATGAAATAGAAATAGAAATAGAATTTGAATTCTTTATTGGCCAAGTGTGATTAGACACACAAGGAATTTGTCTTGGTGCATATGCTGTTAGTATACATAAAAAGAAAAGATACATTCGCCAAGAGTCATCAGGTCCAACACTTAACGATAGTCACAGGGTACAATTAGCAATCAAATCATACCAGGAAACAGTCAATAAAAATCGTAAGGATACAAGCGACAAAGTTACAGTCATAACCGTCACAAGTGGGAGGAGATGGGTGATAAGGAGTGATGAGAAGATTAACAGTAATAGTAGTGCAGACTTAGTAAATAGTTGGACAGTGTTGAGGAAATTAGTTGTTTTGCAGAATGAGGGTGTTTGAGGAAAAACTGTCCTTGTGTCTAGTTGTTCTGGTGTGCAGTGCTATACTAATAAGATATAAAAAATAAATATTTATTTAGCGTATGGCACATCCCATTTGGATAAAAACAAGAGAGATAAAACAAAAAAATTATGAAACACCGCATCTAAAATATTATAAATGTATATCTAGATTACAGGCATGAATTTCTCACAGCCAGCCAAGTCTCCATCCTAGGTTGTATTTTGGCATTCTGTCAATCCAGGTTCTTTTTCAGCCCCACAATCACAATTTGGTGATGGCTATTTTGTCCCGCTTATAGAAATATAAGAAATATACATTTCCCGATATAAAGAAGAAGAAATATACATTTTTGAACTGAATGCCAAGAACTGCACAATGTTGTTATTGGTGGCCATGAAACGCAACTAAGCACTGTACCGTAGTACGGTCCTAACAGCGTTCATTCCACTGTATTCCAAGTAGAGTTTTTTTTCCAGGTTAATGCCAAAATTCCCACTATGTTATTATTTGGGGGTCATGAAAAGTAACCTCTCCTATGCCACTCTCAGCCAGAATTTACTTAGAGCTGCATTTTGGAACCAGATGGACGGTTACAGATAAATAGTTTACTTCCTGTAGACTTGTGGTTCTCGGTTCTTCTTTCTTGATCCTTACAAGAGGCTGCTAGAGTTGGGAAAAGGATTAATTTTCATGGGAGCAAAAGAAAAAGAAAAAAGCCCTAGATTTCCACATCCCATTGAAAGCTACGAGAGTAGCACTTAATAGAGCTATTTTGGTCTAGTTTAGGGGTCTCTAACCTTGGCCACTTTAATCCTGGAAGAGTTCAACTCCCAGAATTCTGGGAGTTGAAGTCCTCCAGGCTTAAAGTGGCCAAGGTTGGAGACCCCTGGTCTAGTGATTAAGGAATCAGGCTGGAAAACATGAGTTCAAGTCCTTCATCCTCCATGAAAGCCGGCTGGGTGATTTTGGGCCAGTCCCTTTCTCTCTCAGCTCAATCCACCTCACAGGGTTGTTATTTTGAGGAAAAGAGAAGGAGGAGGAGGAAAGTGTGTGTTGGATATGTCCACTGCATTGAGTTATTTGTAAAAATGATAAAGGCAGGATATGAATAAATATACTCGGTATCCCAAAATTGCACATAGAATGTTCCTATGTTAGGGGAGGTTACAAAAAAGAGGATGGGATAGGATAGGATAGGGAATTATAATTAAGATAATTAGAATAGAGAATTAGAAAATTAGAATGAAATATAGAATAGAAAAATTATAATTACAGTAGAAAATTAGAAAATTAGTATAGAATATGGAATAGAATAGAATAACAAATGGGGAAAGGGAAGGAAGGAGGAAAGAAAGAAAGAAAGAAAGAAAGAAAGAAAGAAAGAAAGAAAGAGAGAAAGAAAGAAAGAAAGAAAGAAAGAAAGAAAGAAAGAAAGAAAGAAAAAAAAATTCATGGATGGTTGATTGATGGCACAAAATAATCCAGTTCGATTTGTTGTAGGAAAAATTAGGGGATTGTTGTCATTCCAGTCTGTTAGCGTTCAACTGGCTAAGATGGGCCTCAAATTTACTTCAAAGCAAATAAATCCGTCTAAATTGCTTTTCAATTTACTTTCTGAATTATTATTCTTTTCAATGTACTTGGGTCTCCCCCTACTGGCCAGAGGGAGGACATGCAGGCAAAATCCCCTTTTGAGTTAAACTCCGTTCCTGGTGGTCTCTTATCCTCTCACCCAACCCTGTTTAGCCAGGTGCTCCTTACCTGCTCAGGTAAATCATTGCGGTGCTATTGAGGGCATTGTTGCTTGGCTGTGTGGAGCGAGGATAATGAAGGGGCTGTAGTTGTGTAATTCAGCACAGACCATAGTCCAGTTGTGCACGACACACACGCAGGACACAAGAACAGTTAAAGGAAGGAAGAAAGAGAAGAAAAATGCAAGGAATATCAAAAAGAAGCCCCTTCGCCCCTAATAATTGACCTCGACCCATTGATTAATACAGATGTCCAATAAGCACCAAATCTCCCTTAGTCCACATTCAAAATTTGGGTTTCTCTTGACAGTAATTCTTAATACCGTAGTCTAGAATCCTTGATGTAGAATCTTTGATGTAGAATTTTGATGACAATGGATCATCCCCCTGCAATTCCGCTTCTCATTCTATGATTTATCCTGCGAGGATTATTGCTTTGCCCTCTTGCCTGGAGGTTAACAGCAAACCGTAGTTTTTAAAAACAACATATTATTTCTACAGTAATGCCAAATATAATATGTGCTACTTTGCCTAATCCTACAAGGCTTGAAAATTCCCTGTGTTTTCTTTTTCTGGCTTTCCTTCTTTTTTTAGAAATGCTGAGATATATATATTTTTTTAAAGAATAATTTTTAAAAAAACATCTCCTTGGTTTACAGGGAGCCTTCCCCGCGCGCCTGAAAAAGGTCTTCATCGTAGGAGCCCCGATGTGGTTTCGAGTTCCTTATTCCATCATTAGCTTGTTGCTTAAAGAGAAATTACGAGAAAGGGTGAGTTACACCAGCGTGCTAAAAGGATGAACCAGCCCTGCGCTCACATGCCCAGTTGAGAAATTTAGGCCATTTTAAAAGGCAGTAAAAACAGACCATGTGCTATGCTTATGAACTGGGGAAATTGGAACTAAAATGGCAAATGAGAGCCAGATCGGTAGAGTGGTTTACATGCCGGCTTAGAAACCAGGAGGCTGTGAGTTCTAGTCCTGCCTTAGGCATGAAATC